AAAAACAACAACCCATACCCACAGCTGCCAAACAAGGAAAAAAACTCTGCTGCCAGACACTTGGCCAAATTCCAAGAGCAGAAGATACCCCCACCCCCATGGACGCGCAATCTCAAACCCAAGCAAGCCCTGCCAACGACCCAACCACAAATTTATTCATTCGAGTAAATAATATAGAAAAGAAAATAGACATGCTAATGGACACATTAGCCAAGCTCACAGAGGTCCCAGAATAAACACCAAATAACACAAAATACAATCAAAAAATTATTTAATAAAAATCACAAAGCGGCTTAATTCATTGGGACTGCAATTATTGGCATAGCATCTGCATCACTGATATAATTACAACTACGATGTATTCCAAAATATATACTTTTTTTCATTTCAGGCATGAAGCAAAGTTTTGCTAACTTGGTTGAGGTAGAGCATAATTCCAGAATGGAAAATAAAATACCTAGGTTCAGATAAATTACAGCGGTTCGATATTTTTCACAGCGATTCCTTAACAATAAGGTTGGTAGTATGACTCCAGCTTTCATTAGACTTGTAGTACCCCAGATAAGGGGTGTCCGATTTCCGATTCTGTCCGTTCCTAGCGCGGAGCGCTATTTTCTATGGCAAATATATTACCAGTTGTTAACTTACATACTTTGTATGGTAGCAAAAGCATCCATGTTCACTCTAAAGGATATATTTAACAGTACTGTAAATTGCATTACTTGTTCCTCGTCATAGATTCTCTTGAATTTAATGTCCTTAGTGCGTTGGGAAAGCAGTATGCAATCTTCCAGGCCTTAAGAACACTTACGCCTTTAAATATATTAAATTATTGCCTAGTTACACAAAATAAAAAACTAGAGGTAAATGTTCACGACGTTTTTAGGATTATATTTAAATAAAATCGTAAGCTCCGATCACTCTAAACGCTGTTTCCAAGAAAGTTTGTATACAAGAATTGGCTATATAACAAAGAAAGCAGAGCCGAAATACTACATCAATGTCATTATTTTTTTTTTTGGATTGGGATCGCATGCCATTGGTTCAGTGCGTCCGAAAAATATTACTACAAAGGTTATAGCAACAAAAAGTTTTCCTATAAAAATGCAACTTCTTTCCCATCTGCAAAACGCCATCCTCTCTGTCCCAAAACGCCATGGTCCAATAATTGGTTGAAATAGATACCAGTTTCCCATATAATTTTCCATAGCGTTTAAGAAACCAAGCTTGCCGGTCTGAAATTTTTTTTCATCGGTATTTGTCAGAGAAAATGTTTTTCCCGTTTTATAAACAGTATGTACTTTATAACCTTGAACCCATTGCTGAATTGATACGAATTGCACTTCATTAGTATGCAAATCGCATACCAAAACATTTCTACAAAAAAAATTTGGATAAATTCCTGAATTATCGTGCCGAATTGCAATTGCAGTTGGTATACAGAAAGGTTTTTGTTGTAATCGAATAGATATTGTACTATTCCTGTTGAATGTTCTAAAGACTGGGTCTTGAAATACTATTATATGCCTTGTTTGTTTTGAAAATTTAAAGGAAAATATAATATTAGCTGATGAGCCAGCGTTATATCTTCCCCCGAAAGTACACCTTAAAATAAGATCACCTCGGTAACATTTTCCACCTATTGGATATAGTTCAGTATATAACTTTTTATCCCAATGAAAAGTGGCTTGCATGCTATAAAATATATATATTATTCCAAATGATGATAAAGAGAAAAAGAATATTATTGTTTGATAACTATGTGCCAAGATAGGCCGTTCCAAGTTGCATTTTAAATTCATTGGGACTGCAATTATTGGCATAGCATCTGCATCAAAGTCACTGATATAATTGCAACGACAATGTATTCCAAAATGTAAACTTTTGTTCATTTCAGGCATGCAAGCAAAGTTTTGCCAACTTGGTTCAGGCCGATCATAATTCCAAATTCGACAACTACGTATGTCTGTGGTAAAAGTAAAAAAAGCTCCAGAGTGGTAAAAGTTATCCCAAGGTTCAGATAAATTAGCAGCGCGAAGATAAATATACACCGGTCGAGATTTCTCACAGCGATTCCTTAACAATAAAGTGGTTGGTTGTAGGATTCTAGCTCTCACTAGACAAGTAGAGCCTTCTCTTTCCATATCAATTAATTTTGGTATATTAGTCATCCGTATTAGTACGCAATAATCTATATCCGCTTGGGTAAAAGTAACTCCGAGAACTGAATGTCCATATAGCTCAGTTCGATACATACGAACTTCTAATGGAGTATTCACACAATCATGAATGACGTTTTCGACATCTTCCTCAGGGTCGTCAAAGTCTATTCCACGATTAGAGAACTGTCGTGATGGCTCCTCATTTAATAGATCACCTGCCGAAAAATTCATTTTCAATTTTGAAATATATTGAAATGGTTCGGCAACCTCTTCAGATTTTTTCCAAATATTATTTATTGTATATGCATTAACTACGAGTACTTGAGTGTGGGACTCCTGCTCTGGATACCACCAATATGGGCTCTGCTTGTGACTTCGTATAGAAATAAGAACTTCGTCAGTTCGAAGTCGTCGTTTTAATTCTTCAAGAAGTTTGTCAGTAAAAACAAGCGTATGCATAGAGTCGGCAGATTCAAATTCTATGTTTCTATCTTGGTCTAAGTCAAAACTTTCCATACGCATAGTAAAAGTTGATCGCTCTATTAGTTTTGGGCCTTCCTCAGGATGAAGACGGCGTGCTGTGCCCATTCCCATATAAAATAGACAGCTGCTTAACTTCCAATGAGCATGTAACCAGTTATTAATATGCTCTAAACCTTGAGGTTTTAGAGTGGACATTTGTTCAAGTCTATTTCTAAAGTTATCAATGTTTAGACAGGATTGAGATTCTGCGCGACATTGAGATTTCGGTATGTATTCCCACTCTGAATTAAATTTGTTAAGAATGTCGCACAGTTCATTTACCATTGTTTCATAGTAACTATCCATTAAAGTGTTAAGTTCATTACTATTAATTATTAACTTAAAGGTGGATGAAATTAATTGTAGCATTCTTGCAACAACATTGACTTCCATGTCATCAAGTGGTTCCAAAGTCAAAATAATCCGATTTGTAAGGCGAACTAGGTGAGCGAGCTGGACTGTTGTTTGTGGTTGATATACGTAAAGTGTATCAATAAAGTTAAGAAGACGTCCTTTTGACTTTATTAACTTCGCTACTTGATATAATAATAAGAAAGCTTTTTGCCAATCTGCATATTCAAGCCAATGCCGTGCCTGGGATAGGGCTCCTTTTACAGTGTTATCTGAACCATCCATTTCCAATCGACGAACCTCTACAGTTATTGTAACGTCGTCACATACAGAAAAATGATCGCATATCTATTATAAGGGTAAGAAAAATATTTAAAACTTTGTTGGAAGCATAACAACATTTTAATAGTCAAAGTATAATAATTAAAAATATAGATTATAATTAAAAGCATATGTGATAAATCGTTAATTAAGCTGAGGGCAAATCCTTCCCTTGAGCTGGCTCTCAACGGTTTCATGATATCGGAAATGAACGCATAGAGTGCATAATTTCTGACCCCAGTATTGAACAGATCAGCGCTGTCCGGTTCGTATGTCATAATGATTTTATTTGTCACTAGTGTCAACCGTTTTTCTACCTTGTTGTAGTACTGCATCAAGCTAAGTGCTCCTTGTCTGACCGTCGTAGATTCTCTAGAATTTAATGCCCTTAGTGCATTGGGAAAGCAGTATGCAAACTTCCAGGCCTTAAGAACAATCACGCCTTTTAAATATATTAAATTATTGCCTAGTTACACAAAATAAAAAACTAGAGGGAAATGTTCACGACGTTTTAAGGATTATATTTAAATAAAATCGTAAGCTCCAATCACTCTAAACGATGTTTCCAAGAAAGCTTGTATAACTATATACTATATATACTATCTAGTATATAACAATATAGTAGAGCCAAAATACTACGTCGAAGTCTTTTTTTTTTTTTTGGATTGGGATCGCATGTTATTGGTTCAGTGCGTACGAAAAATATTACTACAAAGGTAATAGCAACAAAAAGTTTTCCTATAAAAACTCAACTTCTTTCCCATCTGCAAATTGCCATCCCTTCTGTCCAAAAACGCCATGGTCCAATATTTGGTTGAAATAGATACCAGTTTCCCATGTAATCTTCCATAGAGTTTAAAAAGCGAAGCTTGCCGGAGTGATATATTTTTTATCGGTATTTTTCAGAGAAAATGTTTTCCCGTTTTACAAACAGTAAGCACGTTATAACATTGAATTATTATTATTATAACATTAAAATATATATATTATTCCAAATGAAGATAATGAGAAAACGAATATTATTGTTTGATAACTATTTCCAAGATAGGCCGTTCCAGGTGGCATTTTAAATTCATTGGGACTGCAATTATTGGCATAGCATCTGCATCAAAGTCACTGATATAATTACAACTACGATGTATTCCAAAATATATACTTTTTTTCTTTTCAGGCATGAAGCAAAGTTTTGCTAACTTGGTTGAGGTAGAGCATAATTCCAGAATGGAAAAAAAAATACCTAGGTTCAGATAAATTACAGCGGTTCGAGATTTTTCACAGCGATTCCTTAACAATAAGGTTGGTAGTATGACTCCAGCTTTCATTAGACTTGTAGTACCCCAGATAAGGGGTGTCCGATTTCCGATTCTGTCCGTTCCTAGCGCGGAGCGCTATTTTCTATGGCAAATATATTACCAGTTGTTAACTTACATACTTTGTATGGTAGCAAAAGCATCCATGTTCACTCTAAAGGATATATTTAACAGTACTGTAAATTGCATTACTTGTTCCTCGTCATAGATTCTCTTGAATTTAATGTCCTTAGTGCATTGGGAAAGCAGTATGCAATCTTCCAGGCCTTAAGAACACTTACGCCTTTAAATATATTAAATTATTGCCTAGTTACACAAAATAAAAAACTAGAGGTAAATGTTCACGACGATTTTAGGATTATATTTAAATAAAATCGTAAGCTCCGATCACTCTAAACGCTGTTTCCAAGAAAGCTTGTATACAAGAATTGGCTATATAACAAAGAAAGCAGAGCCGAAATACTACATCAATGTCATTATATTTTTTTGGATTGGGATCGCATGCCATTGGTTCAGTGCGTCCGAAAAATATTACTACAAAGGTAATAGCAACAAAAAGTTTTCCTATAAAAATGCAACTTCTTTCCCATCTGCAAAACGCCATCCTCTCTGTCCCAAAACGCCATGGTCCAATAATTGGTTGAAATAGATACCAGTTTCCCATATAATTTTCCATAGCGTTTAAGAAACGAAGCTTGCCGGTCTGAAATTTTTTTTCATCGGTATTTGTCAGAGAAAATGTTTTTCCCGTTTTATAAACAGTATGTACTTTATAACCTTGAACCCATTGCTGAATTGATACGAATTGCACTTCATTAGTATGCAAATCGCATACCAAAACATTTCTACAAAAAAAGTTTGGATAAATTCCTGAATTATCGTGCCGAATTGCAATTGCAGTTGGTATAGAGAAAGGTTTTTGTTGTAATCGAATAGATATTGTACTATTCCTGTTGAATGTTCTAAAGACTGGGTCTTGAAATACTATTATATGCCTTGTTTGTTTTGAAAATTTAAAGGAAAAAATAATATTAGCTGATGAGCCAGCGTTATATCTTCCCCCGAAAGTACACCTTAAAATAAGATCACCTCGGTAACATTTTCCACCTATTGGATATAGTTCAGTATATAACTTTTTATCCCAATGAAAAGTGGCTTGCATGCTATAAAATATATATATTATTCCAAATGATGATAAAGAGAAAAAGAATATTATTGTTTGATAACTATGTGCCAAGATAGGCCGTTCCAAGTGGCATTTTAAATTCATTGGGACTGCAATTATTGGCATAGCATCTGCATCAAAGTCACTGATATAATTGCAACGACAATGTATTCCAAAATGTAAACTTTTGTTCATTTCAGGCATGCAAGCAAAGTTTTGCCAACTTGGTTCAGGCCGATCATAATTCCAAATTCGACAACTACGTATGTCTGTGGTAAAAGTAAAAAAAGCTCCAGAGTGGTAAAAGTTATCCCAAGGTTCAGATAAATTAGCAGCGCGAAGATAAATATACACCGGTCGAGATTTCTCACAGCGATTCCTTAACAATAAAGTGGTTGGTTGTAGGATTCTAGCTCTCACTAGACAAGTAGAGCCTTCTCTTTCCATATCAATTAATTTTGGTATATTAGTCATCCGTATTAGTACGCAATAATCTATATCCGCTTGGGTAAAAGTAACTCCGAGAACTGAATGTCCATATAGCTCAGTTCGATACATACGAACTTCTAATGGAGTATACACACAATCATGAATGACGTTTTCGACATCTTCCTCAGGGTCGTCAAAGTCTATTCCACGATTAGAGAACTGTCGTGATGGCTCCTCATTTAATAGATCACCTGCCGAAAAATTCATTTTCAATTTTGAAATATATTGAAATGGTTCGGCAACCTCTTCAGATTTTTTCCAAATATTATTTATTGTATATGCATTAACTACGAGTACTTGAGTGTGGGACTCCTGCTCTGGATACCACCAATATGGGCTCTGCTTGTGACTTCGTATAGAAATAAGAACTTCGTCAGTTCGAAGTCGTCGTTTTAATTCTTCAAGAAGTTTGTCAGTAAAAACAAGCGTATGCATAGAGTCGGCAGATTCAAATTCTATGTTTCTATCTTGGTCTAAGTCAAAACTTTCCATACGCATAGTAAAAGTTGATCGCTCTATTAGTTTTGGGCCTTCCTCAGGATGAAGACGGCGTGCTGTGCCCATTCCCATATAAAATAGACAGCTGCTTAACTTCCAATGAGCATGTAACCAGTTATTAATATGCTCTAAACCTTGAGGTTTTAGAGTGGACATTTGTTCAAGTCTATTTCTAAAGTTATCAATGTTTAGACAGGATTGAGATTCTGCGCGACATTGAGATTTCGGTATGTATTCCCACTCTGAATTAAATTTGTTAAGAATGTCGCACAGTTCATTTACCATTGTTTCATAGTAACTATCCATTAAAGTGTTAAGTTCATTACTATTAATTATTAACTTAAAGGTGGATGAAATTAATTGTAGCATTCTTGCAACAACATTGACTTCCATGTCATCAAGTGGTTCCAAAGTCAAAATAATCCGATTTGTAAGGCGAACTAGGTGAGCGAGCTGGACTGTTGTTTGTGGTTGATATACGTAAAGTGTATCAATAAAGTTAAGAAGACGTCCTTTTGACTTTATTAACTTCGCTACTTGATATAATAATAAGAAAGCTTTTTGCCAATCTGCATATTCAAGCCAATGCCGTGCCTGGGATAGGGCTCCTTTTACAGTGTTATCTGAACCATCCATTTCCAATCGACGAACCTCTACAGTTATTGTAACGTCGTCACATACAGAAAAATGATCGCATATCTATTATAAGGGTAAGAAAAATATTTAAAACTTTGTTGGAAGCATAACAACATTTTAATAGTCAAAGTATAATAATTAAAAATATAGATTATAATTAAAAGCATATGTGATAAATCGTTAATTAAGCATCCAGAATCAGGACGGGATAAAGTCCTATTTAACTAGTTTAATATTCGGAGTTACAGTATATAGTGGCAAACAGTGCTACTTGGTATAAATTAGGAGGAGCTAGAAAATTCCTCCAAATGACTGCCTTCTGCCAGTTACTTAACAAATAAGCAGACGTAACAGATAGTGGAGAATATAAAATGGGCATCCACATCAAGGTACAAAGCTAGACCATGAAGCGAGCAAATGGTAAAACTAAAGACAAGAATTACCACGCTCTGTCGAATATGGGATTCCTCTGCTATAACCACAAGTGTTCTTACGTTCTGTTATGAACTATTTATCGTTCTGCGTTCTGCTCGCTAGCTCGCCACGCCACCGACGCCAAAATCGAGGCTGCCACCGTGGCAGGTTGGGTGAAAGAGATGGCAGAGGGCTTGTTTCAAGTCCTGTGACATAAGCGGTGAGACAGACCGTTTTCCAACTGGTGGTTCGCCACACAGAATTTGGTTGGAATAACACACAAAATTAGAGAGCTAGCAGCTGCGACAAAAAAAAAAAAAAAATAAAAAATAAAAGTTCTTTGGTGACTCTATAAAGTCAATTAGCTACTTAATATTTATTAAATAAATATGTCATTTTTGATTATATGTCTCTTTGATTGATATTATATTTTCATAAGTGCAAATAGTAATTCTGTTAGACATTGCAAATAAAAGAATCTTCCGACTTCAAAGCGAATGGTCTTGTGAGCATTGTGTCTTTATATCCGTTACTCGTAGAGTAAAATGGTGAACTATATTTTGTGAAAAGTATGTAACATTCAGAAGGAAACGTTTCCGACCATATAAAGTATATATATTCTTGATCAGGATCAATAGCCGAGTTGATCTGGCCATATCTGTCAATCCATCCGTCTGTCCGTATAACCGCTTCCATTCTTAACAGCAATTATTACATATTAAATAAATATGTAATTTTTTTATAATAGGTTGGCAAATATCTCCCTTCCGCTTTTTTTGCTCTTTATTCAATGCTTTATAAAAAGTGTTACAGTGATCGGATTTAGTTCAAATATGCGCCGTTTTGTTCGATAATCTGTTTCCATCTAGACGGCAACTTCATAATACCTCCCTCGTAGAAGCCGAGTCATCAACGAAGTGTGTGGTCTGGCGTTGTCCTGGTGGAACACTACACCCTTCCTGTTGGCCAATTCTGGACGCTTCTGGTCGATCGCCTGCTTCAAGCGGTCCAGTTGTTCGCAGTAGATGGTAGAATTAAGCGTCTGGCCAAATGGGAGCAGCTCATAGTGGATGATTCCCTTCCAATCCCACCAAACACACAGCAAAACCTTCCTGGCCGTCAATACCGGCTTGGCCACTGTTTGGGACGATTCACCGGCCTTCGACCACGACCGTTTTCGCATGATATTGTCGTATGTGATCCATTCTTCGTCGCCAGTCACCATCCGCTTCAAGAATGGGTCGAGTTCGTTCCGTTTCAGCAGCATATCGCAGGCGTTGATTCGGTCCAGAAGGTTTTTTTGTCAAATCATGCGGCACCCAAACATCAAGCTTTTTTTTGTATCCAGCCTTCTGCAGATGGTTTAAAATGGTTTGGTGACTAACTCCCATCTCCTGGGCGATGTCACGAGATGCCACATGCCGGTCTAACTTGATGTATTCCATGATTTGATCGGTATTTGTCGTCACAGGTCTTCCGCCGGCTGGCTTATCCATGGTGTCGGTTTCACCGGCTCTGAATCGTCGAAACCATTCCTCCGCGGTTCGAAGTGATAGAGTACCATCCCCCAAAACACCATTATTCTCACGGAACGTTTCTCTAGCGGATTTGCCTTTAACGAAGGAAAACTTTAAAAAAGCGCGAATTTCGGCGTTAGTGAACTAACTCCATGTTTACACGTCTATAACTGTTGAGCGCAATATCCAAACTAATCATGCATAGCGTCGTTTTGTAGGTTATGTCAATACCTTTCAATGTATATGTATAGTATTGCCAGATACGAGCTCTGTAGCGCTTTGTACATAGCCGCGAAATTCAAAAGACAAAAAGGCGGAAGGCAGATATTTGCCAAACTAATATATTGCTGGCTTCTGCCACGAATAATACAAAATGCTCTACCAATAAAACAATTGTCTTAGCGGAGAGTATCGAATTTCATCACCGGACAACGGTGCACACGTCAACAAAAATGTTTGGCTATTCACGACTATAAACATCGCTCTGATGGCTCTTGTTTTTGCATATCAAAAACAAGACTGATACTCGACGCTAGAAGTTATATTTATTTTTACCGGTATTGAACATTGAACATCTAATATACATATACATATAATAACGAGTTCGCGGTTGCAAGTTTTGAAAGAAATATAAGTTTTTATTTCAAGATAATAATACAACTTTGAATCGGAGTCAATTCACGTCTTAATGGTATAGTGGATGAATTAGAACTAAATCTGGAGTGTGAGTTGAACGCTTAGCAAACCCTTGGTCGACTTTGTTTATATGAACTTGAAGGCTCTCCTCTTTATTCAAATGGGTTGCGCTCTTTAAGAGAGTTGCGCATGGAAAATTACCAGGATTTGTGCTGCGTAAGCTATTTGGTTGCTTAGTGGGAATAACGAATTTCGGCATCGGCGGATGTTTATGTTTATGAATCAATTGTTTATGTTAACGCGGCCGAAATTGTTATTGTCGCCTAGAGCTTGGGATCTGACTTATGTCTTGGGGTTTGTAAGTTGAAGTGTGTTGCTGGTCAAATGGATTGGGTGGGTGTGATCAAGTGGTACATATGTACTGTGTGTGTGTGCTGTGTGTGTGTGACAAAGTGTTATACTATGGTACATATGCTACTTCCCCATCCTTAAGAAATTAGCCTGTCCTCAGGCGGATAATTTAGGATACAAGACAGGATTTACATTATTTTCTATTTCTGTTACATCATTGTTTATAATATTTGATTCAATAGGAGTGGGAACTTGTCTTTTGAATTTGATTTGATTTGATAAGCCGCGTTTGCTGCTCCTTGCTATTCTAATGCCATTCAATTCTCTTTTTAATTTCTCTGCTAAATATTGAATTTGGGATAAAGTTTCATATTCTTCTGATTGTTTTACTAAGATATCATGTTTATTCTATTTTTGTAATGTTTACAGATAAGTAGTGATACTCGTAATTTATTTGTAAACTTATTGATCCAGTATTAAATAAATTAATTCAAATTAAATAATAATTTCTCCTGTCTTTTTATATGGGTTTGTTGTCTTTGATTTTACTAATGGTGCTTGTCTATATCTGGTATCTACTTCATAACTATGTCTATTTTCGTTTAATTTATTTATTTTATTAATTTTCTCTTGCGGGGGGTCATGTGCAGGTGTTCCTGCATATATAAAAATATCTGCTGGTGTTTTACCTGTTGTATTATGTTTAATTGTATGGTTATAAACATAGAGTAGGGTTTCAAATTTTGTTATTTTATTCTCTGGGTCGGAGTCAGTGCTTATAATTCTTAACTTTTCGTTGACAGTTTTATGAAATCTCTCAATGTCAGAAATTCCATTTTTACTTGTTGTGACGTTAATGTGAACATTTTCAGACTTTAGCCACAAATGTAATGCAGCACACATAAATGCTGAGTCTTTATCGGCTTTTATTTCGGACGGTTTTCCCATTTCATTAAAAATTTTAAGTAGAGCTCTTTTTGCTTCGAGCCAATCCCTAGAGCTGACTTCAATTAAGGCGGCATATTTGGAATAAACGTCAATACATGACAGGAATGTTTTATTATCGATTAAATAAAATTCGATAACATATTTTTCTCTAGGATTGAAAATTTCTGGCGTTAACTCGTAATTTAATTTAGTGTCTCTATGTTCTGTATTGCACATGTTACATACTTCACATTCGTTGATAATGTTCTGTATTAACTTTTGATAGTCTGGGTAGTAGAATATTTTTTTTTAAATTTTGGTTTGTTTTTCTATACCTGGATGTAAGAGTTCTCTGTGGGTTTTTAGTATTACTTCTTTAAATTCTGAATATGTTTCAATATCTATTAATTTACTGGTTGCTCTCATAACTTTAGTTATGTTGTTCGGACTGACAATTTCTAAGAAGGCGTTTTGAAATGTAAGGAAATCTATTTCATTATGAAAATAAATTACGCAATTTTTTGTACACAAATATTCTTTTTATGAAAATATTTTCTTATTTCTGTATTGTTATTATCGTCTTTGACAAATTCTATTTGTCTATTATAGTAGTTTATTGGTCTTTCCGTAAAGGAAATGTAATTTTGGTTATCTTCTTGGCTACTATGTACGGTAGCAGCTGAAGTGGGAGATTCGTCGTAGAAGTTTTCTTTTTTTACACGTGAAAGTGCGTCGGCGACATGGTTTTCTTTTCCTGGTACATATTTTATATAGTAATCAAACTCATTTAGTCTGATTTTCCATCTTTGGAGTTTCATGTTTGGTTCCTTGATATTATCGAGCCAAACTAAAGGTTGATGATCACTAAGGATCTGAAATTTACGACCAAAAAGATAGGACCTGAAGTATTTAGTGGCCCAGACAATAGCTAAGAGTTCTTTTTCTATTGCTGAATAATTAAGTTCATGTTCATTGAGAGTACGGCTAGCGTAACAACCGGGTTTACGATCCTGTGATAATACAGCACCTAGAGCGGCATTGCTTGCATCTGTGGTTAATGAGAATGTTTTTTCGAAATTTGGGTAAATTAATATTGGTTCGGACATAATTAAAAATTTTAATTTTTCAAAGATATTTTTCGATATCTTTAGAATTTATAACAGAACCTTTTTTTAGTTTTTGTGTTATGGCTTTAGCAATTTTTGCAAAGTTAGGGAT